TAATAATTAAATAATTGATTAAAATTAAATAATTAAATTTTTTATTATTTTTTTAAAAGAAATTATTTATTTAAAAGAAAGAAAAGAATATGGAGGACAAATATATCGATGAATATAAATATTTCGAAAAATTTTGTAGATTTGTAGATTTTTAATAATTAAATAATTGATTAAAATTATTTAAAATTATTTTTTTAATTGATTAAAATTAAATAATTAAATTTCTTTTATTATTTTTTTAAAAGAAATTATTTATTTAAAAGAAAGAAAAGAATATGGAGGACAAATATATCGATGAATATAAATATTTCGAAAAATTTTGTAGATTTGTAGATTTTTAATAATTAAATAATTAAATTTCTTTTATTATTTCTTTAAAAGAAATTCTTTATTTAAAAGAAAGAAAAGAATATGGAGGACAAATATATCGATGAATATAAATATTTCGAAAAATTTTAGATTTATAGATGGAAGGAAAAAGCGAGAGCGGGTTTCTAATCTTACGTGACATTGACCAGGGTGGAAAGGAGGCTTCGGGTTGGGGCGGCTGGAGAAGCCCGAGAATCGATCGGTCTCGAGGCGAGCAACCCCTATACATGCCGTAGACATCTTTCAAACGCACCCTCCCGTTTCTCCCTCTTTTTTTTTAATTTCCAATCATGTTTCGTATTTTCCGGGGAAAAACACACCGCCGCCAAATATTTACACCGCCGCCAACGTGGAATCGCGTTTAAATTTAAAAAGTTTTCTACATTTTCACGAGGACCTTGACGTTGCAGATTCCTCCGTTTACGAACGAAAATTCCATACATCGAAGGATCTAATCAATCGATTACAAGAAAAATATTTATTTAAAAGGATTCTAATTTTTATTCTTCTTCCTTTAAAAAGTCAATCGAATTTTATATTTTCTTCTCTTTAAGCTGAGTTTCTAATTCTAATTTCTAATGCTTGTTACCAAAATTATATTTGATATATAATAATTATATAGAGTGGAGGATTCAATGAACTCCTCGCATCGAAGAGCTATCTTTTTTTGTTTAATCTACGAGAGAGTGTCTTCTATAATTTTTCGCTCGAATCGAAAACGAAATAAAATTCCCTCTCTTTTAATTCGAACAAACCATTGAATATTCCCGAACGTATAAAATTTCTCGAAACCAGAAATCAATATCATCAATATCATCGTTTTCTGGAACTCGATCGACGATTAATTATTCTCGCCGCGAAGAATTCGCTTCGCGTGAGAGAAGCTCTCAATCTTATTGAGCCAAGATACACCTCGAGCTCTTTTTATTTATCACGCATTACCGTGACGCACATCGATAAGGAAACAAAGGTAACGGCGGCGTACGGTTGGGACAGAGTGGAAGGTTGTTGCGCCATTGCTCCGTCGCCGAGAAATCTTTATAGCGGCCGCGATTGTTCTCCTCTCTTCTCTCCTTCTCTCCTTCGGCCAACCGTTTAGTTAGCAACAAGTAGTCACGTATCTACCGTGCTCTGCTTCTCCTCGTCGCGATTGTTGCGTTTGCGGGGAATTCGATTCGAAAATACAGGTCGATTCGTTCTTCCATCCATCGATCGGATAAACGTGTGATAATAGGGGTGGAGGATATATTTTACGAGCAATTTCGTATTGCTTTCGGGAAAACGCAAGTGATAGAAGATTTCCTCCCCAAAAGGGATTTTACTCCTCGAGTCTTAAGTGTCGGTTTGTCGATTATGCGATTGGTGGTTTCGATAATTAGATCCTCTTCGCCGTTATTCAAGCGATTCGAGATACGCGATTCGTTTATCGAATTGATATTAAAACATTTTCCTCGAGACTTCTCTTTTTATTTTATTTATGGATATTTATTAAATCTCGTGACGTAAAATATAAAATGTGTGCCTTTCGCAACAAGTTTTAAGCTAGCTTCGTTATTTTTTTTTATTTATTGTAAAATTAATAGATTAGAAAAAGGAACGGCTTTGTGTTGTGCTCGTTGATGTGTATGTTACAATGGAACAGACGAGAGAGAAAAAAATTCCATATACCGAAGGATCTAATCAATCGATTACAAGAAAAATATTTACAAAAGGATTCTAATTTTTATTCTTCTTCTCTTTAAAAAGTCAATCGAATTTTGCATTTTCTTCTCTTTAAGCTGAGTTTCTAATTCGTGCTTGTTAAAAATTATATTTAGTAGAAATTATATTTAGTAAAAATTATGAAAAAATTAAATTTAGTAAATTATATTTAGTAAAAATTATATTTGGTAGAGTGAAGGATTAAACGAGAGAGAGAGAGAGAGAGAGAGAGAGAGAGAGAGAGAGAGAGAGAGAGANGAGAGAGAGAGAGAGAGAGAGAGAGAGAGAGAGAGAGAGAGAGAGAGATTAGAAAGTACGTATGGATCAGTAGGTACGGTGAAATTAATTTCTCGTTAATACGAGGCGGTATTATAGGGGTTAGCAGGAAATTCGAGACGGTTGACGATTATCGACGCGATCCTGCGGGCGCCCACTTCAAGTTGACGTGAAAAAACGCGGCACGTGATACGATTAAATCTTCCTTCTTGTCGGTCCTTCTTTGAATTAATAAATAATCAATGTTCGAAGACGAATTTTACGATATCGCGCAAAGAAGTCTCTCGTCGACGATCCTGACACCTACATAGTAGTGGAAGAGTTATTCGAATATTCAAGATCGTAAAATTTTATTTTCATTTATGAAGTAAATATTCTCGAAACTATCAATTATTTCAAGATGCAATGTTGATACTTCGATTCGAGTACGAAATTACATTTATAAATTAAATCTATCGTTATAAGTCATAATTAATATACTATATTGATGAGAAGTAAAATTTTTTATATCATAATAGAAGAGTTATAACTCGAATATTCGAAATCGTGAAAATTATTTTCATTTATGAAGTATTATGAAATATTCTTTAACTATTAATTATTTCGATGTAATGTTGATATTATTCGAATACATTTATAAATTGTAAATTATCGTTATAAATCATAATTATATTAAATAACAAAATTTTTACATTGTATCGATACGTTAGAATTCTTTGGATTCTACGCTAATGCATCGTTTCGATGAGAGAAAAAATGCGCGTGAAAATAATAATTAATTTCTTTCCAAATCAATCGATCAGACCCTCATTCCTTTCGCGAGATTTCTTTCCAATAGTACAATATGTGGTGCCAGGATTGTCAACAAAACCTTCGTCCAAGCCTTATATTTTTTTTTCGATTCTCTCTCATTCCTGAAATGGAAAAATTTTTCCACGATAAAAATTCGATGGATAAAATTTAAAATTGGAGAAGAAATTTTCAATTTCCAATTTGAAGGTTAGAACCTTATCGTTTCATTGGAATAGAGCAGGAGCGTATACAAATAATACGCTTTTGCGTAAGAAAATTCAAAATTTAATAATTCCATTGATTAATCGCGTCACTTGTACCATTCACACACTACATAGTAATAGAAGAGCTATAATTTAAATATTCAAACTCGATAATCACTTAAGAAATATTTTCGAAATTTAATTAATTATTTCGATATAATAAACTATTTAAATACAAAATTGCATTTATAAATTAAACTATCGTTACGAATCATAATTAGTCTATTACGCATATTACGAGAAATAAGAAAATTTTTATATCGTATCAATACGTTAAAATTTTCTAGCCTACGCTAATGCATCGAGATTTAAATTATCGTTTTGGATTAGGTGGAAAATTTTCGCATTTTCCTTCCAGCGGTGGACAGTGAACGCACCATTGCGATTTCACGGATGCGCGATTGAAATTGCTTCGAGTACGATACATGTATAATACGGCCGAGGCGCAATTTTACAAAGTGTAACACGAGTAACGAGTACGGTAAAGGACTGATTGATCGATCAGGGTAACTTTATACTTGACCGGGAGAGAGCAACACCATGCTTGAGCAGATCGTATGATCCCCCCACCCCTTGCTCGGTCGAAAGCGTAATCGTAATTGATCGATCTCGAGTAACAAGATCATTCGAATGCCTGCGAAAAGAAATCGCGATACGCGCGAGCCAAGAGGGATTGGCCTTCCCTGTTCGCCGTTCTGACAATGAAGAAGCGTTTTAAATTAAAACCGAGCATAAATTGAATAAATGTTATTAACAATCTTATCTTTTTTATTATATATATAGTATAAAATAATCCCTTGTTTTTTTCGACTTTATCGATTTATTATATGCTTATTAATTTTTGCGATTAATTGCGATTAAACAATGTCTTAACCGGTTAGAATTATCGAGAAATTTCAAGGGGAGGAATTATTTTCATACGTGGAAGAAAGTTTCACGTATCACGTCACAATTGATCTCGGTATCTGGAAAGAGAAGAAACTCTATGGAGAAGAATAGGAACGGAAAGTTTAGATTGCCTCGTGACAGCCCGCTTTATTTATTGACACTTAACCTCTACGACAATTTCCTGCGCGGCCTCAACTCAGTTACGATCCTATACCTCGTACGAGTGTACAAGCGCGTCTTCCAGCTAGCATTTACGCTATTTCAATTGTAAAACGCGAGACCGTATTCTCTAACCTATTAATCTTCTAAACGTTACGATGATTGCGATAAAGCCGTGCACAATGAGTAAAAGGGAAAGTTTAATGAAATACGATGGAGATTTTTTTCCAAACGGATTTTTCCTCGACGGAATTATTAATCAAAGATGCACGCGCGTTCTTTTTAACGGGAGTCGTTGCGAAAGCAAAAGTCGTTCGTTCGTGGAATGAAATTTCAAAACGGTAGATGGCGAGGCATCGATTTGTTAAACTGCTGCGCTACTTGCGCGTTACGAAAAAAGTGTTGCGTACGACCCGCCCGATATCGAGCATGTTTCTTTTCTTTTTCTTTTTTCACGAATCGATAAACGAGTCGAAGGAACATCGGATTATCGAGATAGCTCACAGTGTCATTGTCCATCCGGATTATTCGATACGTACGATGATAACATACCTGCGAGCAGCTTGTTTACAGCTTACGTCCACGTAGATCTACGTGGATGGAATATTACAGAGTTGCTGCGCGCGAGAGCGGAAGCGAGGCGAATTATCGGAATCGGCGATGGCCACGTGACTGGATTCGGCCCTCGTTCGTAATGACGATCGCGCGTTAAATTCCGCGGCGCCGCTTTATCCATTTTTCGCCGCGTTTCTTCGCCGCCCACGCCCCTCCCCCTCGGCTCATGCATCATTCATTCGCGCTCACCCACCTCACCGCGCCACCCTCCCAATACGCGTTATTACGGTCGGGGAACGAGAAAGCGAACAGCGCATAAGATAATGACACGGTATTACTCGGTTATTATCGCCGTATTTTTTTTCTTTTCTTTTTTTTATTTTCCAATCGCGAGCAAAGGAAACGAAAAAAACGCGTGTTATTGGGAATTGGAAATGTTTCTTTCTTCTTCTTTTTTTTTCTTTTTTTTTTTGGAAAATAGATAATAAAACTCGTTTCGCGAGTAAGAGCAAAAGAGATTCTTTGAAAGATAAGAATTATCGATTTAGCTCTCGTAAGTGTTTATCCCCCGATTCTTTGTAATTGCAACGATAATTTATCTATCATGATACGATACAATTACGTACTTTTATTAGATTAAAGAAACAATTATTATAGCATAATGAAATTTTAATTTTATGCGATAAATTACATATTTTTTTACTAAAATTAGAAATATCCATTCCATATATATTTGAACAAATAATGAGAATGTAAAGATGTATCGAGGAATTAAAAAAATATATATATACGTGGAATTTCTAAAGTTTGAAAAAGGGTTAAAATCTTGATCTTGGCAAAAATCGTCGACGATTCTCGGCGCTGTTAAAAGTAGAAACGCGGACGAGCCGATATCGAGGGAAGTGTACACGCAAGATGTAGAACGCGTAGAGGTGAATTTACACGTACGTCGCCTAACAATTTTATCGGCTATTATCGATAAGAGCTCTGCGTTCGCTCGTATACTCGGTGGACCATTTTTTAAACCATTTCACATCGAACGACGTTGAAAAGCATCGAAAGGATATTATTCGTCGATCGTGCGATGTTGCACGAATTTGACAGACGCGATTAACAAAGTTTACTCGTTGAATCGATTGAGTTAAATTTTTCGACGATCTTGTTTCTATCGATTCTGAAAAATAAAAGCGGTATCCCGTCGAGGATACACCTTTTATTTTAGGCATCGATACATCCATTATCGAGCGTTACACGAGGATTGCTATGCGCTGCGACACACGTAGAAGCAAGAAGGTGCGATTCGTGGAAGAAAGTTAACCGTGAATCTTTCTCGGTTGACAAAACGAGAGGAGGGTTCTCCCTGCTTCGTGGAAAGATCCGACAGAATCTTCTTAGAGCGAGGCCACTGACCTGTCCATTGTGCCATCCCTGTGCCATCCTCCCATATAAAATATTTGGACAGAACTTCCGGCCCAAGGCGCGCCGAGAACGTCCTTCTCCTCCCATTTCCTCCCCCTCCCCCGATATTTCTCCCTTGTATCTTCCTTCTCTCGAGTTTCCCCAACGCGACGAAAGTTTCTCGATCTCTCAGCCTCGATAGCTGGCAATCGATGGCTTGTAAAGCTTTCTTCAACCGAGCAAGTCGAAATCTTGTCACTCGAACTCATCTTCCTTTCTTTTCCCTTCCTTTTTTCTTTTTTTTAAAATGAATCCCTTTTTTAGATCGCGCGTTCGTGATTTTTTCTTTTTTTGGAGGAAAAATGTAAAACGTTCACGATCGGTTGCCAAAAATTTTCCTATCCTAGGAATCGATATAAATTGACTCTTCGTATACGCGAGAAAGAAATCGTTTCGCATCGAAAGATGTTTAAATTTATCCTTGTTTCGAAAGGAGCAATTCCAGCAAGGGACAAGCGAGTATTGTACGATTTAGAAGATCGGGGGCAGGATAGGATACCGCGTAATCCGTCTTCAAGACGATGTTCCCACGGTCTTCAAGATTCCTCGTACACGCGAGTGGTTCTCTCTCTCTCTCTCTCTCTCTCTCTCTCTCTCTCTTTCTCCACACCTACTACGATTTCGAGGTGTTCGAGGGACTTGATATACAGGGTGCACAAGCGAAAGACGATCCCGAATAATTTCGAATCATTCGTTTCCATCCTTTTCGAAGCGCGCGCACAATTTTCAAGAGATTTCTTTCTTCCACGACGATTTCTCAGTTTCCTTTTCTTCCATCTTATCTCTTCGTCTTGTTCTTCTTTCACTTTCTTTCATCTTTCTCTCTCTCTCGCTTTCGCTCTCTCTCTCGCTCTCTCTCTCGCTCGCTCCCTCTCTCGCTCTCGTTCTCGCTCTCTCGCTCTCTCTCTCGCTCTCGCTCGCTCTCGTTTTCGCTCTCTCTCTCGCTCTCGCTCGCTCTCGTTTTCGCTCTCTCTCTCGCTCTCTCTCGCTCTCTCTCGCTCTCTCTCGCTCTCGTTCTTGCTCTCTCGCTCTCTCTCTCGCTCTCGCTTGCTCTCGCTCGCTCTCGCTCTCTCGCTCTCGCTCTCTCGCGCTCTCTCTCTCTCTTTCTCTCTCTCTCTCGCTCTCGCTCTTTCTTGCAATTTTTACAAAGTTCAACGTGATGAGAATATAAACTCGCGATTTACTTTTTATAAATATATTTTTCACGATATGCAAATATCGGCCGGATGTTGGAGCGGACGGTTCCTTGCCTGTGCACGGGGGCTTACACGGTAAATTTAAATTACGATAAAATATTCGAGGAGGCAAAACGCGACGCCCTGATAAAAGCTTGACAGCTGTCGGCACGAGCTCGCGCACAATACGTACGATTATTCGTGTACCAGTGGCACGTGGAAATGTCTTTTTCACGACGAGCGTTCGAATTAAAAAAAAAATCGACGCGACTTTTTCACAGATAGATCTTCGTCCATCTTTTTCCATCCCATTTTCGGCGATTCTTCCTCGAAGGGGAAGAGTGGTGGATTTTCGCGGCGAGGATCACAGCTACGAGTCTTTCTCAAAAAAGTAAAATTTCTAATCTTTCTCTTTCGTTTTCCTCTTTCTCTCTCTCGAGAAAGCTCCTCGATTTTTTCTTCCTCGATTTCGTTATTTATCTTCGAAACGAAGAGCAAACGCACATAGCAGATATGATAACGATCGCAAGAAAAAAAGAAAACTCCTAATCTATATTTTCAGGAAATCAATAATATCAAATATCAAAGTTTAATCAGATATATAATCTACGCAGTTACGTGCTATCCGACTGAAGAGAAGAGAAAAAGAAATCTTGATTAACGAACTTCTTTTTTACACGTATATACTATACATATATACATATATATATTATACATCCTCGTGCTATTTCACGCCATTTACCATTCGTTAGATGCGATCTGTTTCTCATGGTCAGCCGGAGGAAAGTCGAGATTTCGTCTCGAGGCTGATGCACCCTTCGTATATGGAGCAGGTGCACCGGGTTACCTACCTGCCGTAGGCGGCCCTACTTTTTCATTCCTCTTCGCTTTTGCTTCCCCCCGCCATCATCTTCTCCTCCTTTTCTTATCTCCTCTTTCTCTCCTACGTTGATTCTCTTCAACGCGAATTAGAAGGCGCATAAATAGAACGTTTACACGCGATGTCGTGAAGCTATACGATGAAGAGGTGGGGAGCTAGGAAGTTTTTTCCAGATCAGGATAGAACGATTCTCTTTCTTTCCAAATCGATTCACCGACTCGTGGATTTACACGATTTATCGCAAGCTTATTTTGACTGGAAAACAATAAATAAAATATAAAATATAAAATATAAAATATATATATATAAATTTAGCTGAATGAATATATTTGATTATACGCGTTTACAAAACATTTGAGGTACGTGTAACGAAGAGAAACAAATAGCTAGCAACTATGAAATAGTAATGTTGCTGGCAACGTTCAATAATGAAATCGCATATAAAATTTCAGTGAACTTTAAAATTCTATAACACGCAGTTATTACGATATTTGGTGAAACAATATTCCTATTAATCGTAAATAAAAAAATAATTCCATAGAAATCGCAGTTACTACGATATTTGGCGAAAGAATATTCCTATTAATCGTAAATAAAAAAATAATTCCATAGAAATCGCAGTTACTACGATATTTGGCGAAAGAATATTCCTATTAATCGTAAATAAAAAAATAATTCCATAGAAATCGCAGTTACTACGATATTTGGCGAAAGAATATTCCTATTAATCGTAAATAAAAAAATAATTCCATAGAAATCGCAGTTACTACGATATTTGGCGAAAGAATATTCCTATTAATCGTAAATAAAAAAATAATTCCATAGAAATCGCAGTTACTACGATATTTGGCGAAAGAATATTCCTATTAATCGTAAATAAAAAAATAATTCCATAGAAATCGCAGTTACTACGATATTTGGCGAAAGAATATTCCTATTAATCGTAAATAAAAAAATAATTCCATAGAAATCGCAGTTACTACGATATTTGGCGAAAGAATATTCCTATTAATCGTAAATAAAAAAATAATTCCATAGAAATCGCAGTTACTACGATATTTGGCGAAAGAATATTCCTATTAATCGTAAATAAAAAAATAATTCCATAGAAATCGCAGTTACTACGATATTTGGCGAAAGAATATTCCTATTAATCGTAAATAAAAAAATAATTCCATAGAAATCGCAGTTACTACGATATTTGGCGAAAGAATATTCCTATTAATCGTAAATAAAAAAATAATTCCATAGAAATCGCAGTTACCACGATATTTGGCGAAAGAATATTCCTATTAATCGTAAATAAAAAAATAATTCCATAGAAATCGCAGTTACCACGATATTTGGCGAAAGAATATTCCTATTAATCGTAAATAAAAAAATAATTCCATAGAAATCGCAGTTACTACGATATTTGGCGAAAAAATATTCCTATTAATCGTAAATGAAAGAATAATTCGATAGAAATCCCACTGTTGATTGGGCAATGGAAAACAATAAATAAAATATACGGGTTTAGCTGAATGAATATATTTGATTATACGCATTTATAAAACATTTGAAGTACGTGTATCGAAGAGAAACAAATAGTTACCAACTATGAAATAGTAATGTTGCTATTTATATATATATATGAAGCTATATTATAGCTTCAATAATGAAATCGCATATGAAATTTCAATGAACTTTAAACTCTATAACAATATTAAATTTATCGTATCTTCGGATCGCATCGAGACCAGGAAGTTTTGAATTCGATTTTCGTGTTCGATTAAAGCTTTGCGGTTAAACGACGCGTGTGGAGATAATCGTTTGAAGATGGATCGATAAATAATTGTATCGATCAAAATAAGGAGGATGAATTACAAAGTATCGAAAATTTATTTGAAGAAACAATACGTTTTATCGATAACTGTTTATCTCTTCGAAATAATAAAGTCTCGTCCATCGAGCTCAATTAAATCTGTCGGCCAAGTTTCCCCTCTGAACTTTATGATGATGAAATTTATAACCGAGATTAGACTGAATTCTCGATTTCTCCTAATGAAAAGGCGTAATGAAACAGGATTTTTAACGCTGTCGCCATTTAAAAGTCTAATGCAATATTAGTCTAATGCATCCTCTTGGAAGACGTAAGCAGCAGGCTCACGTAGGTTAATTACGGTATTTTTGAATTATTGCGAGGCTTACTTTCATATCTGGTGAAAATCTGACTGGAAGGTCGGCGAACCTGGAGAAAAATCCGTGTTTTCGAGGTCCCTTGCTCTCTCTCTCTCTCTCTCTCTCGAGGATAAAACAGTACACCGAATTTATTCCGAAAGTTGCCTCGAAAAAAAGGATTGCAACAAGGAATATCTTTCTCGTAGACAAAGTGCAAGAAGGTCGAAAGAAATAAATTATGATACGCTTAACTACTCG